CGAAAAAGAGCACGGGACGAGCACGGGACTGCATCTCAAAAACACGCATTGGGGTTTGCGGGAGCACATCCCAAGCGAAGTCGCTGAAATCCGAAGAAACCCTCTGAAAGGTAAAGAGTAAAAAAGTCCAAGACGCTCTTTGATGTCCTCCAGTGTAGAAGCATCGTAGAGCGCTTGGATTTCGGCAGACGCGTCGATTGGTAGAACTGGCACTGGTCCTTCAAAGCCTGCTCAATCGCGTTGGCTACCGGTCCAGTAACATCGCCCACCAGCCTCTTGAAGGGTACAAAGACAAAGTCAAGCAACTCTTCTCGCTCCTCTGAGTAACCCTCCAGCACGTCCAGGAGCGTGAAGCTGAAGCAATGGGATAGCGTGCACACTTGCTGATCCTCTCCAACATGTCAGTGATCCTGTTGAGTGGGCCGAGGAAGCTGTTGAAGGCCTTTGCAACCGTGCGGAGCGCCGCCAAGTTGTCGGGGGCAAACCAGTCCTCCTTTCCAGACGGACAGCTTCATCGGGACTGTGAGATCCATGCCGCCAAAGGAATTCTCACTTGCCAGGTCTTGGAGATCCTGGTCGACTTCTGCAATTGCATCCGGCAGCCAGTCACACACCTCCAGAAAAATCGTGCGCTCTAGTTGGTGCGATTCTAAGAAACAGTCTAGAGGCATAGCGCTATCGCAACAATCGACAAGATCAACGTTGAGAGCGGGAGAGGGGGAGAGAGGGAGAAGCAGATGACCAGGCTGGTGGCCGATGAGCATTTTAAGAGGCTACTTCGTCTACTAAGCCTACTAACGGCACGTTTTGCAGGACAATTCAAAGAGCGCCTGGATGGCATTACCGATCTCCTGCGCAGGCCCTTGTGGTGGAAATGCAGCCATTTTGCTCATATCCACGGTCATCCTGAATGAAACAAACAGCAAGGGTCTAGGGTGCTGAAGTGATGAGACGGAATATCTCCGATGTGTGCTACTAGCCATAGCTGCTCTGCTGTTTTGCTGAACAGGAGAGCGCAAATCTCAATGTCGATCAACGCAGCGCTTCCCTGCCTGGCCTCAGGTACTGCACGGCGAGCCTGACTTCTTCCGCAAATGTGCAGAAAGCTGAAGTCTTTGGCAACATGCTGTCTCGGAGGAAGGTGTGGATGCTCCTTAAATCTCGATCCACCGCCTTCTTCACCTGCTTTCAAGTTTTCACACGATGGGAGCAAGCGCTATGTTGAAGCTACATCTTCAGCGATGGCAGCTATGACTCAGCAAGGGATTCGAGTGGAATTTCGTCACGGCACAACAGAATGTGCTGGACAAAGCCAAGGCGCTTTCTGGGAAGGCGCCTCCAACATCGTGGCGAGGGTTTTCACAATCGGCAAGTTCTTCCTGAGGGATCGAGAAGGATCCACTCCAAGCTTGATGTTGCTGACCGACGTCCATGCGATTGCTACTATTGCGACCATCTAGATCATATATCTGGTTGCGCCCTGGCACTTATGCTTTCCTTTGCCAGTCTTGGTTGTGCTCTTGCAGCTGCCATGACGCTGCAGCCATGCGGGGATGGCTTACTTGGAGGTTCATGGTACTTCGTAACTACTTTTAACTGTACTTATATCTGTACTTATAACCATATTAGGGCACTTAAGGGGCTTACCTCCGGCCACAAAAGCTCCATTCAAGCACCCTCAGGTTGGGAAGGTGCTGTGAAGCTCATAGCTGCTCCCTTGAGCCACTGTCTGGCCTGTGAGCCGATCGAGATATTCCTAAACAACCCTCCCAGGGTAACATACGGGTTGACCAAAACCAACCACTACTTGTGAGGGCGGCGTAACACCCCAGCAGCACTCCCACCATCCCTACGTCTGAGGGCGGTGCGAGGACAGAACAGCACAAAAGAAGAGCCGTATACCCTCTGGGCGCGGAGCTCCTATATAAGTGGCTTATAAGTACACTGATAATCGGTGAATAAGTACCATGAACCTCCAAGTACTGGTCTTCCTGTCTTGTAACAGGCACCTGCTCCCAAATGCAGTAGGGTATCTTGGGACATGCGCTTGCCTCTCGAAATCTTGTGCCTCACCTAGAGCATGCCCGTCGTGCTCGACAGTCCTAAACCTAAACTCTAAACCCTAAACCCTAAACCGTATTGCAGACCTTCCTTTGGTCGAAGCTTCTGGCCAAGATTATCCCAGGATAATCGCCGCCAAGCATCCCGCCAGCCGCAAAGACTTCGACGGTCTCAGCGGCATCCAGAATTTCGTCAAGTGTGTCGAACATGTCCTGCTGGCAGTGGGAACTACAGAATGGTGCGCTGCACGTCTCCAGTGGAGCACTGGTTGAAGAATCAGAGGGTTTGAGGGTTTGTTTCCAAAACTCAGAAACACCGGGCTTTCAGTCGAGTCTGGAGCCTGCGCACGCTCTGACACCTCGCAGGATGTCTCAGCAGCATCATAGAAGGACTTGACCTGAGCCGTCTTACTGATGAAGATGAACATTCCTTCAACATGTGTTCGCATCAACAATCCGCCCTCAATTCGGACCTAAGGATCCAAACCCCACCCCCTCCCCACCCCCGCCCCCCTAAAATCGGGAAAAATATGTTGGGGAGAGATTCCGAGGAACTTGCAAGTGGGCCAACACATGACTGCAAAGAAGAGAGAGCCGAGAGCCAAAAGAGAAAACTCCCAACGAGTTGAGCCCTAGACTCGTTCCACGGACAGCTCGTAACCTTACTTGGAGGTTCATGGGTTCTTATAAGTAGGGTTTTAAGTACCCCAAGTAAGGTGACGACCATAGTTCCCCACTTATAACCCCTACTTCTAACTACCCATGAACCTGCAAGCATGGATTTTTGGCACCCTCCGAACCCCCAGCGACGCGTCAGTACCCTCGCTGCTCTATAAGCATCCGAGTGTGGTTCATTGCTGCCAGACTGCGGGACCTGCTTGGCATTTTTGCACGATCCCACTTAAACTTCCAGTGTGGGCTCAACGCACATCATTGACACAACGGATGACTGACATAACGGACATGATGGATTGGGATGTTCCCCCTTATACGAACAGTCTTTGATCGGGATTATCGTACCCCCAGATCGTCGGTGCGCGCATGCAAAAAACCCAAGTGGTCTGCAAGATCCCTTCGAAGAACTCTAGGGTCAGACGTCGAACTCCGCATAGAACCCCCCCCCATCCCCCAGTGTACAGAAACCAAAAAAGAAACACTCCGTGCATCAAGAACCTCCTCACAGGACCCACTGACAAGGCCCAGGGGCCATCGGCATGTCCTCAAGGCTCTGGAGCTGGTCCTCTCACTCCAGGGGGCGCATGAGAGAGAAGAGACGAGAACCCAACACAGCGGCCGAGAAAAAAAAAACAGCTGGGAGAGCAACCTCGACTCCCCCCCCCCCCCCCCCCCCCAAAAAGGCCTGTACGCTGGTCAGCTGGGTCATGAGGTCTGGGCTCTGGAGCAGAGCTGTCGCGTTCGGTGTGCTGCAGATGCCGGTGCCACTGATGTTCCCGAAATTCAAAGCCTGGCCAATCATCGACCTGTCGTTGACCTCGGGAATCTTGGACACTTTCAGCAGAGAAGGCGGGGCCCTGTGCAGTGTTTCTTGGTGACACAGGCTTGAAACACAGAATGACACACAGATGTCCACAGGCATCTAGCCTGATGACTTCTGACGGCCTGGGGTTTGAGTTTCAAGAGAATTGAGGAGAGAGTGAGGGTCTGATATCGCAGGTGGGAACTGCGAGGCTTCCAGATTAGAAGTGTCCAAACGTAGTCTGAAGCACAAGAGAAGATGCCGGGCCCCCCGACCTTTCTGCGAGCGTCGACGATGGCGTCTGAGTCCGGATTGTCATTGTAGTTGCCTCTTCTCACCAGCATTTTGAAGGGGCTTTTCGGAGTTTTTAGGGCTGAGGGGGTATAAAGATGTGCAGAGGGTAGCCACCTGCTCGTTTGACAAGGTACCCTAAGCCCTAAACCCTAAAACCCTAAAACCCTAAAACCCTAAAACCCTAAAATCCTAAAACCCTAAAACCCTAAAACCCAAAAAAACCCCAAAACCCAAAAACCCAAAAACCCAAAAACCCTAAAACCCTAAAACCCTAAAACCGTAAAACCGTAAAACCGTAAAACCGTAAAACCGTAAAACCGTAAAACCGTAAAACCGTAAAACCGTAAAACCGTAAAACCGTAAAACCGTAAAACCGTAAAACCGTAAAACCGTAAAACCGTAAAACCCTAAAACCCTAAAACCCTAAAACCCTAAATCCTAAACCCTAAACCCTAAACCCTAAACCCTAAACCCCAAACCCTGAACCCCAAACCCTAAACCCCAAACCCTAAATTTTTTATTTAGCCAAGGTAAGCTCTGGGTGCTGTTTGCGGTGGTTGTAGCGGCAGACTCCAGATCCATGCCCGCCTGCGCGAATCTTGGGTTGGATAAGGTTTAGGGTTTGGGAGGGTTTAGGGTTTCGGGTTTTCGGGAGTTTAGGGTTAAGGGGACGTGAAAAATGATCACGGGCGCTCGAAGGGCCGACCTTTCAATTAGCAACCCCCCCCCCAAGTCCAGGAGTCCTCGGCGTCCGTGACCTTGGCCATGAGGCTCGTTTGGACGCTGCCGTCGGACATCATGTCCGTCGCTTCGGCGAACATATCCTGGGCAAGGCGGCATTTTTTGTCTTCTGAAACGAGAGAAAACTGGGATCACCTAAAAGATCAAAGCGAAGGATCGTGATACTTGAATCTTAATAAGCATCAGAAAAATCCCCAGGGGCCATCTCGCTACCCATGATGACAATTTCTGGGTCCTACTGAATGTCCATGCTGAGGGAGCTCTCTTCTTGCGCCAAGAGAGGCCCGCTCACGTGCGGCCGAGGAGCGAAGCCGCCGGCGCTGCCGACCGTGCCGTTCGTGGCAATGAGAGCCGAGGTGGCCGGAAACCACATGTCCAGAAGGCTGGAAAAGATGTCGGAGCCACTATCATCATCTCCACTCCCAAGGCCCATCATATCCTTCACAACCTCAATCATCAGTCTCACGAGGCGGCCCTTCAGATCATCCAGGAGCTTCTTCACCGCTGCTTTCACGAGACGCTTGGCTGTGGCCTTTGCCATCTTCACCGCCTGTTTCTGCAGCTCTTTCTTCAGATGCTTGGCGTCGGCCTCGTAGGACTTCTCGGCTGCCTTCTGGCCGATCTTCCTCAGGTCTGGGAACTTCTTGGGAAGATGCTTGATCTTCTTCACGATCTTGTCCTCGATCTTCTCGAAGAGCAGCTTTACGTCGGACTCCTTAATGAGCTCGGCTCCCAGGGCGCCCTGGACAGCCTGATTCGCACCGTTGAGGGTGCCCTGAGCAGCCTGATTCGCCTTGTTGAGCTCAGCCTCAGCCTGGTCCCGGATCTCTTGCACCTGCTTCATGGGATTGTTTTTTTTTTGTTCGCGGCTTTTTTTGGGGCACATTTTCCACAAAGCACCCAGACGCCAAACAAACCAAACCCCCCCTCCCCCCCAGAGAAAGCCCAAAAACCCAACCGAATGTCTCTTGCACCTTCTCGTCGAGCTTGTCCTTCAAGTCCTCCTTCAGATCCTTCACCTTAAGGAAACAGCACGCGGGGCTTCTCATCGAAGCGCTTGAGGAATGATGCTGGCTTGTTCGCATTACCAGCGGATAACGCTCATATTGCCAAATAGTGTGATGGGAGTGGGGGTGGTTGGAGGACAAGGAGGCACTTACCAACAAGTACTTGCACCACCCGCACCACCATGAGCGCTGCTCTTGATTTCTGTTGCTCGGTTGTAGAGTCTACATGAACCGCTTCTGCAAGCAGGAGCAGGACAATGTGGCTGTTGGGAGAAGGTGAACTGGTTCACAGCTTGTTCGTAGACTCGGAGTCGAGGCACTTTATCTTCCACGATCTCCGTGACTTCGGCCTTGATTTCTTTGAACGCTTCCTCCCCGTGGCTCTGTATTTCCTGGCTCACTCTCGCAAGGTTGGGGGGGGGGGGGGGGGCTCGGAGCAACTCAAGGCACAACTCAAGGCACATTCGCCCCCCTAAACCCTAAACCCTAAACCCTAAACCCTAAACCCTAAATCCTAAACCCTAAACCCTCTCCTCCTTCGCCTTCGTGGCCAGCTGATGGATGAAGCCTTTGAGGCTGTCCAAAACTGACTCATCCTCGCTTTCGTCGTTGCTGGCGGCCTTGGCTTTGCTGGAGACCGCCTGCCACGAGGAGAGGAGAGGTGCTGAGGGTTTAGGGCTTAGGGTTTAGAGTTTAGGGTTTAGGGTTTCGGGTTTAGGGGTGCCCTGCCCCAAGTTAGCTCAAGGGACGGCTGAACGTAAGACCCTGATGTGGTTGTATACTATAGGGGTCGGAAGAAGTTGTCGGGGGGGGGGGGGGGGGGGGGGGTCATTCGAGTATATTTACACAAGGGGCCATAAGGGGAGACTACTAGTAATTTTTCCGACCCCTATATTAAGCCACCCCAAAAAATTCGCCCCTATAGATATGCTTTGAATGCTTTGAATGCTTTCCTATGCTCTCACAGTCTCAGTTGGCGAGGTCGCGCCTTCAGCTGGGACAGCGAGGGAAGACTCCTTCAGAACGAGATACTCGGACCAGTTTTGCAATTTAGCATTTAAATGGGGATGTCCGCAAATAGGGGTATCCCTTGCACACCCCGCACAAAACTACTAGATATTCCGTCTAATGGAACCCGAAAAAAGGGTACCCCTATTCTCGGAAACCCCCCAAATGTATTTGGGCAAGATCATTTGCATGTCCCGTACTGTTGGTTAGTAGGGAATGAAGGAATGAGGTACCGGTACCCTATAAAACCCCTCAGAGGGTACATCTAGGTGGATCTAGGGTACCTCATTCCCTCATTCCCTACTAGGATGGTTCGAGAAGTCCTCCTAGCAAGGTTACTTGGAGGTTCATGGCACTTCGTAACCAATTTGAACTGTACTGATAACCCCCACTTATAAGCCCCTTAAGTGCCCTAATAGGGTCACAATTGGGCTATGAAATCCAGTCATTGTACGAAATTCCCTGAACCTCCAAGTACCCCAAAGAGAAGAATAAGCCATCTGAACACGGGCAATGGCCATTGTAAAAGACCATCTCAGCAAGGCATTCCTCCATTGGCAGTGCGGATGGATCAACATCGCCAAGCGTGCAACAGCCATCTTCATCTCAATGCTAAAAAAACATGGTCAGTTCTCTAAATTCTCGTCCCTTTTTGTACCTTGAATATGAGAGGGGCCGCCTTAAAAAAAGTACCCCTAAACCCTAAAACCCTAAAACCCTAAAACCCTAAAACCCTAAAATCCTAAAACCCTAAAACCCTAAAACCCAAAAAACCCCAAAACCCAAAAACCCAAAAACCCAAAAACCCAAAAACCCAAAAACCCAAAAACCCAAAAACCCAAAAACCCAAAAACCCAAAAACCCCAAAAACCCAAAAACCCAAAACCCTAAACGGACCATACTTTAGAGAACTCACTAAAAACACCGGGGAATGAGAGGTTTGCCCCCACGATTGGGAGCTAGGGTGCCAGGGAAGTCTCGGGAACCCCAAAAACAAAACACACAAACGGGTTTAGGGTTTAGGGTTTAGGGTTTCGGGTTTAGGGTTTTCGTGGGACTCTACTCTTTAAAATGGTCATGTTTGAGGTTCACGGCCGCATGACCAGCTCCAGAGCAAGCCGAGATGCACTGTGGGCACCTGCACGTCGATCCTTGGTTGCTGTTTAAAGCCCCCAACGAACGGGTTTAGGGTTTAGGGTTAAGGGTTAAGGGTTAAGGGTTTAGGGTTTAGAGGAACCCTAAACTCATAAAGTGATAAGGTTGTAATATAAAGTCCCAGCTAGTATCATCCTTCCCTCCAAGAGCGTTGTGGCGGCGTTGAAGCACTTGGTCTCCCAGGTGATCGCAACCTTCTGGACGAGGTCCGACAAGAAACCGTCGCCCATCTCGATAACCTCCCGTGTGGCTTCAGGGCTGCACTCAAACAGAGAATCTGGGTTTAGGGTTTAGGGTCTAGGGTTAGAGTTTAGGGTTTAGGGTGTCTGGAACCCCCCCCCAAAAAAAAAATGGAAAAAAAAGAAAAAACCAGCGCCTCGTCGACGAGGTCGGAGGCCATCTCCCTCGGCGAAAGGGTCAAGTTCTTGCCCTCCAAGGCTGCAAAGGCCGTCTTGAGAGCCGGCCTACACTCCCCCTTTAGAACCTCAATAAGAATATTTTTGTTAAATATCCTCTTGGTGTTTTATTGATAAACAAAAAAAAAAAAAAAAAACGTTCCCAAGAGGGATATAGCGGCAAGTCGAAAAGGTACTTTCTTGCTTCTGCCATCAAGTCCTGCCCTCGGCGCAACCAGAGACAAAACATTGTGCCAGAACTTGCTCCCCATCGACTTAGATGCTGCTTCGACTCCAAAAAAAACGCAAGACATTTTAGCCTCACCTTCTGAAGTCTAAAGATTGTGGGATGTTAAACCCTAAGCCCTGAACCCTAGATAGTAGGATGAACCCTTGTCAAGGCCACATCCCTGGTCTTAGGGTTTAGGATGGTTTAGGGTTGAGAGTCTGGGGTGGGGTCTCGGGCAACCGGCTATCGCTAACCTCCAGGAGTTGTGGGAGCAACTCAAAAAACGACCGGATGCAGTCAGAGTCTAGAATCTGGGCACTTGGCCGGGTGCTTCCACCAATGATTGGTCAAGTCCAAAACTGGAGGCAATTTAGGGCTGGAGCTTAGAAGATGTGACGCCATCACGCAGACACGCAAAATGACCTCCCGTGACTTGTCGACTTAGTCGCCCGCGGGCATGGCACGGGCACGGCCATGAAAAGTTACAGTACTGAACTGCTCGATCTGCTCTCACAAGTCCTGCTCCGATCCTGCAAACCTCTCGAATCTTCTTGAAACCATTCACGATCCTCCTTCTAAACACAACAAGATGATGGAAGTCCTTTGTCTATGATGACGTCGGAGGCTTTCCTCGTGTCACAGCTGGCAGTTCACTGGAGCATCGGGGTCGGGCGAAAATTTGGAAGCCAAGGCTTTTGAGCCCTTTCCGGTCCTCGTTGACTTCGCGCACATGGGCTCCACAACGAAAGTCCGCAACAACCCCTTCATGAACTCCTTGCCGGCGTCCGCAGCCTCACTGGCCCTGGCAACATCCGTCTTGAAGGCCTGGGAAGCACCGAACAAGGGCTTGATATCTCTGAGGGGGGCCCAACGGGGCGATGTTCTTGCTCGAGGGTTTGAGGGTAGGCTTTGGAGGGGCAAGGGGGACGTGGCAAGCCTAAATTGGGAGCTTGTGATTTTGCAGCGTTACTAAACTCCTCCCACAGTGTCTTTGGGGGCTATAAGGCTTACTTCAAAGCACCTTCAGAACGTGAGAGCTTGATGCCTTGGTTTGCACTATGGATGCGCTTGGCGGTCCTTGAGATCCGAATCCTAAACGCCAAACTTCGGAACGATTCCTTGGGGCGCTTGTAGGCAATAGGGGTCGGAAGAATTACTCACATTACGCCCCCTCACCCCCCCCCTCACCCCCCCCCCCCCCCCCCCCCCCCCCCCCCCCCACCCCCCCCCCCCCCCCCCCTCACACCCCCACCCCCCCCCCCTCACCCCCCCCCCCCCCACCCCCCCACTCCCCCCCCCCCCCCCCCCCCCCCCCCCCCCCCCCCCCCCCCCCCCCCCCCCCCCCCCCCCCCCCCCCCCCCCCCCCCCCCCCCCCCCCCCCCCCCCCCCCACGCTCCTCGGCCTCACTCTTGCTCGTTTGTGTGGACTGTGCGATTCGAAGCTCTACATTTGCTTTTTTGTTTGCGCCAGCGAACGCTGCCATTACAGTCCCGTTGGGAATCCTTTTAGCAACAATGTGCACGCCCTTCGTTTGGCCTGGAATGGGTACCCCTCCTGGTGGACAGGTGTGTGGGAAATGGGTGAGCCTGGTCTTCACATGCGGCTGCGCAGGCCCCGGCCGAGGCGGGTCGCATAGCGTTAAAATAATTTTTTCCGGGTCATACGAAAATGGCCCCCCAAAACCCTTTTTCAACAGATTGAAGCCCCATATTCGACATCCAGGCGAGCCCAGCCTCCATGACCTTGGTCTTGAGCGAGAGCTCGCGGGCTTTCAGCTGCCGCTTCACCCGGACCTTGACTTCTGCGCTGAGCTTTCCAACGACCTGCACATGTCGTTCCATGGGAACGGAACACGAGTGTTGATAAATCAGAAGAAACTGATATACAGTTGATCATCCAATTTAGTTTATTTTCTTCCTGGAATTCATGCAATACATCTTCAAGTACATTTATGAAGGAGCCGGAGATGATGCAAAAAGAAGCCTACAGGGCACTTCTCATCTCGGTGCAGTAGCGAACTTCATGGAACGAAACGGACCAGCATGTGACTACATGCTATATGATGCAGGTTCACAACTGCGTGGCGCATGTTACATCCTCATTCCAACTCCGAACAACTCCTGGGGAAATCTACCACTAGAGTCTCTAGAGGCGATCAACCGGGGGTAGGAGTGCCTAGCACACAGCGGGCAGGGCGGCCTTCTTGCGCATGCTGTTGAAGCCGCTGGCTTTGGTAGAGAGAGCCGTTCTGGCCTCCTGAAGTAGCAAGAGCATCGCAAAACATCGCGACACGTATGTAACTTCTGAATAAGCCAAGTGTGCACTGCGAGAGTTCGGAATTCGTCTGACTGCTGTCCTGGGCCATGTCTTTCAACGCTTGCCACATCGCTTTAAAGCGCTGCTTTGGCAAGGGGAATTCGCACACCTGCAAGCAAGATGCGGAAAGGGAGGAACCTCTGGTTGCTATTGCCCCAGGCTCACCAACAAAAACTTCTGCGAGTCGGGTTTGCATCCTAACCTATCTAACATAGCTCGCGACTTGATTCTGCGACAGTTCCAGTTGTTCACCCTGGCTACTCTCGGGCGCATGACCTGGTGTCCCGGCAATGGCCAGAAAGCTTACTTGCGATATCATGAACCCTTCTGGCGGAACTCGCGCTACACCAAGGGTCTCGGAAGCCACGCGTTGAAAACAACAAGTTGCGAAGGCGCTTCTTGTAGCTATTTTGCTTCGAGCTGCCCGTTGGGAATCTTGAAAGGTAGCGTTCCGGCCTTCACAGCTATACACTCTACATTCCTGGCACTGGGCACCCCCTCCAGTGCGCAGAAATGCCCCCGAAGCACAAACATTTATTTCTAGTTGCAGAGTGAGTTTTTCAGAGTTTGGGCTAATTCTCATGCCTAGGTAGCGGAGTCTGGCCACCCACGACTCGTCTCAGAGCGCAGTCGAACACCGATTTTGCCCCCCTCATCCTAGGAATATGCGACTCCAGGGAGACCCAAGCGCGCGACAGTGCTATCCAGAAGATCTATGCCAATGGTCCCATCCCGGGGCTTGCAGCACGCAAGTGGAACCGGGACCTGCGCCTAGAATCCCTGCAGACCCCCCCTGCGCGGATAGCTGACACGTTTTCGATGTTACAAGCTGGTTGGTGTTTTCTTCATTTTTTTTTGGGGGGGATAAGAAAGGGCTTGGGATCCCCACGCTCAACTTTGTGCAAGCCCTCACTCTTGCCAGCTTCGAACCGCAAGGACTTAAACAGGACTGCATTTGGCAAACCCCTCGGCGCGGTCCTCGTTTGCACTCGCGAAGGCCTTGATCAGCCTGTCTGTGACTTTCCTCATCTGGCTCACCACAAAGTTCTTGGCCATTGTGGAGACCATATCCGCAAAGGCCTCTCTCTGCATCCACGTTGCGGCTTAGAGGCTTAAAGTTCCAGAAATTGAGGAAAAAAGTGCTGTTCAGCAAAGCAAGTCATGCTCGTGGTGTTTGCTGGGCTGGTTGCGTTCTTGTTCGTGTTGATATGGCAGAGTCCGTGACTTTCTAGGCCCAACGTAGACTGTTCTTTGATGCTTTCGGCAGTTTCTCCGCCCCTCCATCCAAGACCGTACATCCCTATACATCCCCAAATTGCCCATACCTAAGCTAAACCCCAAGTGCTGGACAATTGTCAACCCCCCAAAACCCCCGACTCAGATGTCCTAAACTGACACCCCGAGATCAACCAAGGATCAGGGTTTCCAGGTCTAGGGCCTAGGGGCTTCTCGGGGCTTGCATCGCATGTCTTGTAGGGTTCACATTATGGGGGGGGGGTCTTGTACAGGGCGTTGATGCGGTTTTTGCAGGGAATAGGGTCTTTAGCTGTACCCTAAACCCTATACCCTGAACCCTAAACCCTCAACCCCACTTGGTTTTTCTTTTCTGGAATCGCCCCAGGGCGGGACAGAATATCCTCCCGGAGCGCCTCACCGTTCTTGATCGTCTGCACGAGGCCATTCTTCGCGTCTTTGACATTCGTGCTGATCTGGGATTCAGGAGTAAAGGATGATTCTCAGGATGATTCAGGGCTGCTCACAAAGATGTTGCCAAGGATTAGGGCTTCAAGGTTTGCTCCAAGCAAGCCGTAAACTCCACGGCCCCAAAAATCCTCTTTCGTGGCCTTTACATGGCACCGATAAGACCTTTGGGGTCTGTGCAGTTTGATCTCTCTCCACATGCTACTTGCAGGTTCATGGCATACTCATAACTGTACTTATCAACATATTAGGGCAATATTAGGGCACTAAAAGGGCTATTGCTTCATAAGTACCATGAACCTCCAAGTACGAGGGGTCCGCCTCGCCCCGGATTGCCGTGTAGACCGCTGAAATGCCCGAGGCGGGCATGACCTGAACCATCCAGCAACAACACGGATGTAGGGTTTGGGGGGTTTGAGGTTTAGGGTTTAGGGATTAGGGTTTAGGGATTAGGGTGCGAGAGATGAAAAAACACAGTAGGAGTTGCGTGCCTTCCTAGCTGAAGATGGCCCACAATGTTTGGAACTGCAACACAAAATGACGCCCATGCTGCCCACTCCAAGACGTGGACCTAGTGAACAGGTTCAGACTTCTCTGGGGCGTAGTTTGCCTTGGGGGGGGGGGGGGGGGTTACCTGAATTTGGGGGGGTTTTTGGGGCTCAGTGAGTGCTTTACACGGCTAGGGCCTGGTTGAGCAACTGGTCAACCTTGATGCCTTCCAGCGGCTCCGTGAGGAACCTCCGGGCCTGAGCTTTGCACATCCCAGGGCAAAGGGCAAAGCTGCAAGGGCTGCAAGGCTCAGATTGCTGTAAGATGCTGTAAGCCCACGCGATGTAAGCAACAACTCTTGTGTTTGAAAGTTTGGGAGGGCTGCGTCGCAAGAATGGCATGATGGCAAGGCAAGGAATTACGAGGAATGACACTGACTTGGCTAGCGCCTGCGATTCGGCGACAGAGTTCGTTGGAGTCGGTGGACATCTATGGCGACCACTTAAAGACACACACACACACACACACACCCCACACACACACACACACACACACCACACACACACACACACACACACACACACCACACACACACACACACACACACACACACACACACACACACCACACCACACACACACACACACACACACACACACACCACACACACACCACACACACACACACCACACACACACAACACACACCACACACACACACACACACACACACACACACACACACACACACCACACACACACACACACACACACACACACACACACACACACACACACACACACACACACACACACACACACACACACACACACACACACACACACACACACAACACACACACACACACACACACACACACACACACACACACACACACACAACACACACACACACACACAACACACACACACACACACACACACACACACACACACACACACACACACACGCACACACACACACACACACACACACACACACACAACAAACACACAACAAACACACAACAAACACACACACACACACACACACAACAAACACACACACACACACACACACACACACACACACAGACACACAGGGCCTGTTTTTTTCTACAGGTTCTGAAGACCTGTTTTTGAACAGGTTCTGAAGACTAGACATTTAAGTTGCCCCAAGTTTGCCAAGGCTCCCCCGAGACTTCTGCCATTGCGTCGGACCTGCGGGTTTGCAGCGGCTACTAGGAGAGCGTGACAGCGGGCTCCAACATCCATCCAAATTGCGGGGGGGGGGGTAGGGGGTAGGGGGGAGGGGGGGGGTAGGAGGGGGTAGGGGGGAGGGGGGTAGGGGATCTAGTGGGGAGTAAGTCCCCAGAACTGTGTGGACATTGCGGGACATGTCCTCTACGTATCTCTACGTGGAAAAAGATGTGACACTTGCCAACATGACTTGAGCAGGATACTCCCCTTAGAACCTTGGTAAAAACAATACTTTTAATATCTTCTTGGGTTTTATGTAAACAAGAATATAAAAGACATGATTCCCAAGGGGGATATAGTCTTGACTAGAGGCCACGGACCTGGACTTCCGGGGCTTAGCAAAAGGAAGTTACGCGCGTAATCCTCCCAGACTGCTCATAAGCCGAATTCAGCCAAAAAGAAAGGACCTCGAAACATTCTGGACACCTGTAACCCCCCCCCCCCACCAACTGTGTCTTAAAGGGATCCCCGATTTGAGGATCTGTCCCTTTCCCCCTCCACTCCTCCCCTCCTCCCCTCCACTCCTTGATCGGACCTCCTCAGAAACCGCCCCTGGCTTTGCATAGCTGCCGCGGACCCTGATTCTTCTTTGGGGGTGTGTGGGGGGGGGGGGGGGGTCGTTAGGAGTAGGGGGGAGTGCATTGCTCGCCACTCGCACGCGGATGCTCGTTAAACTTTGGTTTAAATTCGATCCAGAACCCTAAACCCTAAACTCTAAACCAGAGTGCTTGTTGGCTTGTTGCAACCCCAACTACTACTATTTGCTGAAGACCCCAAAAGAAGAAAAACAAATCATAGTCCCTATATTACCCTTGATAAGGAAGAATATTTGTGCTTTTTTGGGGGGTTCTTAAGCAAATAGTAGATTCTCACAGCTGACGAAGAGTTGAAGCCCACGGCCTGATCCCGTCCAGTTGGCTGTTGACTTGGTTTTCCACGAACTCGCCCCCTTTTTCCACAGCAAGGTCCAGAAGCAATCTCACCTGGGTTACTGGGCTCCCCCGCGCCCCAGAGGCTTCACCAGCCGAAGAACAGACAGGCTTTAGGGTTTAGGGTTTAGGGTTTAGGGTCTGGGGTTTAGGGTTTAGGCAGTTTAAGAATGAAGCCCACCCTTCTGAAATGCAGGAGAAACATCGTTCCCAAGCTAAAACTGATGCGGCGTTGTCACGATCGTTTCCCTTGTACACAAGTCTGATTGCGGCCACAGGAACCAATTCCTCCTGACTGAAGCATACCAACTGCTTGCCACCAATTATCAATCTCGGTTTCATCACCTGCGTGCAGCTCTCGTGCTAGCAACACCCATGAATTCAGCATAAGCGGCTTGGCACGCATCGTGTGTTCATCTAGTGCTCAGACAACCCACATTTGGTATCATTTGGTCAGGAGGAATGAAAGCACGAAAACTGACCGTGTTCTGAGCCCACTTGCGCGTCGTCTTCAGCCATCAACACAGCAATGAAGAATGAACAGATGCCCTCCACCTAAAGCTGAAACTGCTGTAGAGCCTGAATAGCAGGAGCTCCGGGCTAAGTATACTATAGCTATGGAGGGCATATCAAGGGGATCACATTGGTGACTGTTCATCCCCTTATCTGAGCCAAACTCGAATGTGTCGCACACACGGAGTCAGACTTTGCTTGCGTGGTTTCAACATACACATCTCCACAACAGGTTCCTCATACAGACTATCGCCCAAACCCTTAAACGCTACACCCGGATCGATTACAACGCTGGAGCCAGGCAGCATCGACGCCCCATCTCTTGATTTGTTCGTATAGGTCTCGGATGTACTCCCAGATCTTCGCCGGCAACTGGCCAAAGCGATGAAGGGCTTTCTTAAGTCTAAAGAGTTTTTGGGGTTGTAGGTCTGGACTACTACCACTACCACCACAACGACCACGACTACCACTACCACGACTACCACCACCAATAACCACCACTACCACTACTACGACCACGACCACGACCACGACCACGACCACGACCACGACCACGACCACGACCACGACCACGACCACGACCACGACCACGACCACGACCACGACCACGACCACGACCACGACCACGACCACGATCACGACGACCAGGACGAGGACGAGGACGAGGACGAGGACGAGGACGAGGACGAGGACGAGGACGAGGACGAGGACGAGGACGAGGACGAGGACGAGGACGAGGACGAGGACGAGGACGAGGACGAGGACGAGGACGAGGACGAGGACGAGGACGAGGACGAGGACGACGACTACCACTACTACCACTACTACCACTACTACCTACTACTACTACACTACTACCACTACTACTACCACTACTACCACTACTACCACTACTACCACTACTACCACTACTACCACTACTACCACTACTACCACTACTACCACTACTACCACTACTACCACTACTACCACTACTACCACTACTACCACTACTACCACTACTACCACTACCCATTGTGCTCGTATTTTCCGCTTTCCATTTCTTTACTTTTGCATCTGTTTCTGTTCATCTCCGGAGCCGAAAAACCGCTATTTACAGTGTTTCCAGCGCGTGGTGGCTGCCCTGCCTACTGCCTGCTAGTGGCTCGTGAAAAATTTTGGCGCCTCCCTTCCTTTTTCTCTCCTTGTTGCGATGCGCAATTCTTGGACCTCTCTGGCCTGCGCCTTTCCTGTGAGTGCCTTGGGTTTCCGATGAGGGCCTTGGATGTCCTATGAGTTTAGATTGGCTTTGGCTTGGCTTGGCCTTGGAAGGGGCTTGGGGCTGGTGGGGGAGGGGAGGGGGGCAGTTCAGGGTGTTGGGGTTTAAGGGTTTTGGATATGGGTTTTAGCGTTTCAGGTTAAGAGTTATAAGGGTCTCGGGTTTAGGGTTTTGGGTTTTTGGCTCTAGGATTTAGGGTTTTGGGCTTTGGGATTGCTCTTGCGATTTTGCTGCTTTTGCTTCGCCCCTGGAGTAGCTTCGCTCGTGTGGCTATGCCCTGGCTGTCGACCCTTGCCTGGCCGACCCCAAAGTGAAGCCTAGTGTCTGCACCGCACTTGCGAACCCGACAGGTTTCCGCTCAGCCCGTGCTTTGCTTTGCTTACCAAGTTGTTGCCGCAAGCTTCTGATCAAAGTGCCAGCATTCGAAGAACATGTCTCTTCACGATGCAGCGGCATTTATGCTTTCGCTGTGGCATGGCCAAAAAATTCTCTCGAGCCACGAACAAGATGGACCCCATGACACGAAAACACTATAAACATCGATACAAAAAATCACCTTAAAAAAATACCTTGGTCCTTGGTGTGCGCAAAACCGTGACGTCAAATACGAGCACAGCGTGTACTACTACCACTGCTACTCCTGCTACTACTGCTGCTACTGCTACTTCTGCTACCACTGCTACTACTGCTACTACTGCTCCTAAGTGACTACTACTAGCCTGCTAGCCTACCACTGCTACTGCTCATACTTATAATATGAATACTGAGAATTGCTAACAATACCTGATACTACTCAGTCCGATTTCTAAGACTGCTGCGGCCCTCCACGACCACAGCACTCCTCCTAAACCCTGAACCCTGAACCCTGAACCCTAAACCCTAAACCCTAAACCCTGCACCTTGACCTTGATGCAAACTCCGCCTCGCCTCGCTCATGAATGCGGCGGCATCTCTTACGAACTCCGCCACCTTCTGCCCAAGCGTTTTGAGTGCCGCTGCTCCATCCTGGAGAGTGTATGGGTTGAGGGTTTAGGGTTTAGGGTTTCGGGTTTTGGGTCTAGGGGTTTAGGGGTTTAGGGTTTAGGGTAAGGTTTATGGCATTTATGGACTTCGGCGCGGGTCTCAAAGGTATCACAGAGCACTCGCGGCGTTTTAAGAGGATGGGAGTTGCCAACAAAGTAGGACATAGTTTGGGTTTAAGATCAGGGTTCATGTAGGACATCCCTTGTTTGATTCCCATAAACATCTGCAATGCCAGAAAGGTTGCTCGTAGCACTAAGCGACCACGCACATCGGTTCGAGCGTCGTGCCCAGGGACCCTCCAACCAGAAAGCTACCACTTCAAAAGCGGAGCCAGAACCGACCAGGCCCTCACTACCTCACCCCTGCTTGAAACCCTCCCCGCACCTTGGCAAGCTGGCTGGCTTTCTTCTTTGCTTTCTTGGCCCAGCTGTCGGTCGATGGAGGGCCGTCGTTGTCCAGCCACTTCTGATCTGCGCCGAGGCGATGGATTTTGGGGAACGGACCGGAGAACCCCCGCATGTCTGGCTGCGCAGGATAAGCAAGGATAGCGTGAGAGCGAGGAGTGAGTGTGAGCGATGTACGAGGGCTAGGATGAGTGTGCGACGTGACATGCGGTGCGTGCGGGCAGTTCAGGGTTCGTCTCTCGATGATCGGCAAGCCGTCTGTGTAGGAACAGAAGCAACCAGCTTAAATTCCACACACCACACAACAGACTTTGCGCGAGTTTCGCAACCGGCGAACTCGAGCACAGCGGCATTAGTCGGTGTGCGGACAGCACGCGGGAAGGGGGCTGAAAGTGGGGAGTGGTGTGCACCGAGAGCGCGGTGCGCAAGCAGCACACAATGATGATGTGGGGGATGAAGGTGAGACATTCAAGTAGGGCCCTTTGCGTTGAGGGCTAGACAAGTGAAGCTACCATCGTAGTTTCGATGAACTTCCGTTACCGATTCCATGTCTTGCGACAGGATCAGGGTCTATGCTGGGGTTTAAGGGCTTGGACTCTCCTCAAGTCGTAACCCTAAACCCTAGCACCAAAAAACCTAAACCCTAAAGCCCTAAACCGGGCCTTTTTTCCAGTCGTCGAACTTGATCGAAATTTCACGGAGAAGGGGCCCGGAGAAGTTCCCCACAAAGACGTCCAGCAGCCCCTTGCCGCGCCTTGAATGTGCAGGGGCAGAAAGCCCTTCGCGTTCAAAACAGCACAGCCGAACTACAACGGAAAGGGTTCGTTTCGTGGAACCCCGACCCTGTGAGCCTCTGAAACACCAGAGGTGCCGGGTGGCTCCATGGGTTCCGTGGGTTTTCCCTACAAAAAACATCGAAACGAACACGGTAGCATGGTCCCATCCATGTCAGGGCGTTTGCGGCTAAGGTTTGCACACAGCTCTCCTGGGGTTGCCACTCATGTTTGCCTCTGCAGAGAAAAAATCAATCTCAAAGTGTACTTTCTCCGGCACTCGGGAGGAGTTCTGTACGTATGCACACTTGGTTGTAGGGCTCTCTTAAGCAGGCTGAGTCGTAGAGTTGACACCACCAGGCCCATTTCGGGAAATTTCGGCAGAATTTAGGTTTGTCTATGGCTTTGAGCACGTTGACTCACGTCCGAGGTTCAAATTAGCCCGAAAGAAACACCGGAGCAAGGACAATGTCTATCTTTCAAAGTAGGAGGACTTCTCAATCGACCCCCCCCCCCTCCTTTGCGGGAAGGGCGCAATATGAGGTAGTCCACAAGCTCTCCAATCAGAGAGATGCCAAACTCCATGAGCTTGAACTTGAGGCTGATCATAAACTTCCTTATGAGAACTCTAAAGCGAAAGGGAACAGTCTGGAATGGTCGTGAACGTCCCGAGGACGGTGTCGCATACATCTTCCCGTGTGATTTGCGACATCACATACATTCTCGTGGCTTCCAAGTGTACACGAAACACCGCACCACCACCCTCAACTACGTGATGCCGCGTGAGTGCGCCACCCTGCTCAAAGGGTTAGTACCCCGAAGCCATCGAAATCCAGTGTGTGCAAGATCCTACAACCCTCAGCCGCTTGGCTCCTCTCCCTCCCCTCACCCACCCTCAACTACGTGGCTCCTCTGCCTCTGAGGTTCTCCTTCAGCTTCGGCAGGTCGAATGGGACTTGCGGGTCCAAGTAGCCAACCAGCTTGGTGACGGGCCATTCGAAGAGGATCATGACCTCAGGGAGAGAAGGCGGGGGGGGGGGGGGCGGGGTGGGTTGCGGGTTTCCCACGACCTCAGCGGGAGAAGGGGGGAGGGGGGGAAAGGGGGGCTTTGTGGAGAACCCCAAAGAGTCCCGCCGAGTTTCTCTGCGAGTACCCTGGCATCCTCAGAGAATGCAGAGAGTCCCGCCTTCCTGGAGTGCCCACAGAGAATCCCCCAAGAGCCCTGTCGAATGCGACAGAGGCCTGCGGCGAAGTCTCCAAAAGAAGCATCTCCCGAAGATGACAGGGGGGGTCTTGGAGGTTTGCAGAGGCTTCCACAGGAGGTTCCTTCACCCCCGTAGTCAAAAGGTTGACGTCTCATTTCAATGATGGCTTCTTCCACGGGAGGCCGCCAGATTGTTTCAGCAGAGATTTCAGTCTGGTTTCTGGAAGAAAAAGTGTCCCGAGAGCCCCAGCAGATTGATAGACGATGGGTACCCGGGAAAACTTGGAACCCATTGGCCATGAAAAAAGAACCCGACATCCCCCCGCAAACATCACATCAGTGCTGATAGCAGCGTAGAACTGAGGGAATGAGGGAATGAGGGCCCTATATGTACCCTTTAAGGGATTATATAGGTGCCTCATTCCCTCATCCCCTGCTAAGAACCAGGGGGATAAGAAAACATCAAGGAAGGGCCCCGGCCTTGTTCACAATGAGGCTGACAAGGCCCCTGCCTCCGTACCGCAAGCTGGGTTGCAACACTGTTGAGGCTGAGGGCTTCATAGTTCAGGGCACAAAACTAGCATGGCCCGGCAGATGAGAAGACACACCACAACTGAGAGTCTCAAAAGGCACTTGCTTGGGGCACTATGCGCCTCCAATGATCAATTGCCTCTTCACTTCGAACCAGATGTCTGGAGGAATCAAGCCACGATGGTCCTGGCAGGAGAATGCGCATCTTTCCCCTAGAGCCAGAAAAAACTTGCCTGCTTCAGCATGCTCAACGCCCTGAAACCCTGAAACCCGAAACCCACCAAACCCGAAACCCACTAAACCCCTACTTCCACTTTGTCAGCCCTGCAGAAGCCACATCCTACAGCAAACCCTGAACCCTTAAAGGCCCTAAAGGCCCAAAAGGCCCAAAAGGCTTTAAAGGCCCTAAAGCCCCGAAATTCCGGGAAGCACTGCAGAGCCGTCTTACGCCAAGTCTCCGGGGGCCAAAAGCTCAGCTTCAGCTCCAGCTCTTTTCGGACGCAGCTCTCGTAGCCTTTGTCACGGATCGCCCTTCTTGAGGGTTTCGGAAGCTTAGGCCTTTTTGAGGGCTTAGGAACATAGCTTCCTTTTCTTCGGGTTTGGGAAGCTGAGACCTTTTTTGGGGTTTGGGAAGCTCAGGCTAAGGGCTAAGGGCTGAGAGCTACGGGCTAAGGGAGGGCTTAGGGCTTAGGGTTTAGGGTTGCGGGGTGGGGGGCGGCGGGGGGGGGGAGGGCACATGTCAACGCCTCCCTCCAAGCCTGCTTTTCAACCCCAAACCCAAAACCTGAAGCCCCTAACCCTAAAGGTGTTTGTTTTTGTCACCTGCCCCCTCGGAACTCAAGGCTGCAGCGCATATTTCTTCGTACGATTGCCGTCTCCTATCAGCACCCTCAGCAAGTTGTGAGGGTCCGCGACTGCTGCATTAAACTAGATTCCCCACGCACACCCCCCGGCTGTCAAGCAACTGTTCAGCTGACCCCCCTTAAGCCGCCGATTGCGGCCGAAGCCCTACACCCCAAACCTGCATCCGATTACCAGCACACCGCTGCATTTCAGGACTAGCAGCCACCAAGCATGTTGCTGCCGCCGCAGTCGAAAGGATCAAGCAGCCTGCAAGCTCATGCTCATGGGACTCATGGGGTCGTAGACTTCTAGGGCCTCAAGCAATAAGAACACACGGCAAGGTCCCAGAGGTCCACTTAAATCCGTAAGAACCTTACAAAAGAGCTTGCAAAGCCCGGTCCTGAGTCCTTTCAGGAAGTTTTTGAACTTCACTTGCAGGCCGGGAATGTCAATCGGCTTGTCCTCGGCGCCAAGGAACATCACAAGAGCAACAGCAACGCAATTAAACGGACAGCAGCAGACCGTGTTCCGCTACAATGGTTGCGGAAGATGATGGGCTTCTCCCTCCCTCCCCGCTGACATGCGGTACCGGGTACATTCAGAAAGGCGGACAGAATCGTTGTTTAGTCTCCAAGCGCACTAGAGTCACTAGAGTAGTCGATACCGCTAGAACCTCGAATGTCAGGCAACATCCCGAGCAACGTTAGTGACTGGACCCTCAATGTACGCCGTGGCTGACATCAAAAGACTTTGCACTGTATAGCTCAGGCTCATAGCAGCGGAGAGTAAAAGGGCAAACTTTTTGCGACGGCTGAAAAAGCATAGACTTGCAATTGCAAACTCAGCAGCAGGAAGGCTCTCCAAACGCAACGGCAGACACCACACTCTACTACACTCTTCTCACCCTTGAGATTGGCTTTTGGTAGGGACATCGCGCCCCCATTTCGCGCACTGCCCCGGACTTGTCGTAGCCTCGGCAATGTCTGGACGGTCCTGCGCAAGGAACGCTGCCCTCATCGTATGAGACCGATATGCTTTCTGAAGTTCGGCATTCAACGGCTGCGCTTCAAGCATCGCCTTCAGGTCACTTCCCTTTTTCTTTTCTGCTGGCGTTTTGGCCGCCTTCGCAGACTCCAGTCCAAGGTCGCGCACTAGGGCTTCCGCGTGCCTTGGATCCGCTTCGTACGTAACAGTTCCTGTCTGGCTGTCATAGCTCACGACCCGGTTCAGGACAGTCATGCTATCCTTTTCACACTCAGGTCCTATGTGGCCATCACACTTGAACTCGTACTCTTCAGACAGTACTTTGTCTACAAAGCGATGTCCATCTTCGTCTGCCAAGACTAGGAAATCATCCCCATGCACCAATAATCTCACGTCGGCTTCGGCATGATAAAAGGTACACGGATATGCTTTTCCCACGACAAACCCGTGCTTGCGTAACAGGCTTGTGTACGATCTCTGCCATACAGCTGAGGCATCACGGGTGCCATACATGGTCCGTTTCAACAGACCACAAAAGCCGGGAGCTTCATCTCCCTCGGGAAGTGTGACAAACACACGTCGTTCTGCTTTTCCATAGAAGTGTGCACGTGATATGTCTGTCAGCTTCAGCGTGAGCTTCTTTCCGCTCTTTGACCTCTTGAGTGTCGTCAGCAGACTGCATAGGATCTTCAATCCTTCCAGAGGTGGCATTGAGGAAAACAGTGCGTAGTCTGGTATCAACGCCGCTTGTCCCTGTGACTTGACCTCGCGGACTACCAAACGACTGCGGTAGTTTTCCCGAACATCATCCCCTTTGTTGCGGTCTACCCACTTCAAGGTTATGGGCGGACGACCTGTTTCGTCCCAACACACGCTCTCTTCGACTTTCTCGTACACACCTTGCTTTTTCACCCAGGCAAGTTCTGACGCTCTTGCTTCCGCAACCTTTTTGGCATCAAGTTGTGCCCCTGTGTTTGCGTCTATGACGGGCTCGCTTACGTGAAGCTGCCCAGCCTTGGGTAAGGTATCATGGAGATACTCTTCGAGCGGTGGCTCCTCGTGTGGGTCAGGTCCACCCACATGGCCCACCTCCTTCATTTCTCCATCCAGAACCAGTTGTGCTCGCACTCCTGCCAGTAGTGCTCTTTCAAGCTTCGGAGGATACTCGGCCTTGGCCGTCACGATCCCCTCCTTGAAGCTTAACGTTCGGTTCCACACCTTCGCATTGCCCTTGCATAGCTTTTCCAGCGCTGTTGCAACCGTCGCCGAATTAGTAATCCAGCGGGTTCGCTTCTTGCCGGATTGGCCTGCAATCATTTTTCCACTTTCGTCAACTTTCCACTTGCACATTGGGCCTTCAACCAAGTACGAACCCATCCTTTGAGCAAGTTCATGCTCCCAGGACTTAGACTGGACTTAGTTCCCCTTGGGCACTCATAGAGGAAGTAGTTTCCGGCTTCCTTCTGTGCCTCGAAGGCCTCAAAGCAAAGCCCCAGTTGAGATCGGGCCTTCCTCAAATTTCCGCGTCTGGTCTCGACTCCAATCTTGTTGGTCATGTCGAAAGCACGTTGTACTGACTGGAAGGGTCCAGTGGGCAGCTTGCCCACCAGAAGCTTTGGCTTCACTTGTTCCAGCTTTTCGAAGAAACGCAAATGCTCAGCTTGAGCGAACATCGGCGGCTCTTGGTCCATTGGCAAGATAATGCCTTCATTCACCATGCTCCAGGGCACAGCTGAATTGCCATTACCTCCCAACTGTAGAACCATAGAGTTTATGGCCTTCGCTTCAGTCGGGCTGCACTTGAGCCCCTTTTGTTCGAACATCCGCGTAATCAGGTTCATTCGCACTTCCTCGTTGGCTGGCGGCGGATTCGCCGTTGCTGTGTCGTACATTTCTGCATCTGCTCGTGCTTGTTGGCGTGAGTGGTCCAGGCCGGGTCCTGCAGAGCCACTTGCTCCCCCTTGCACGTGTACTCCAATGACCTCGACATCTGGACCATCGGTAGCCCTCGTGCTGGGCTCTTCCCGGTAAAGGTCCTCGACGTCCTTGGACGCTGCGCGCTTCCGCTGTTTCGGCTCGGCGCGGTCCTCGACCTCCATTGGTCTGGACAAAGGTGCGCCTGCCGCTTCCTCTGCTGCAACATCCATTGCGTCGGGGGCAGGTCTTCCTTCCAGCGCGGGTTGGTCTCTTTTGACCCGCTTTCCGTAGTCCTTTTCAACTCGCTCTTGGGCCCTTTTCACTCTTTCTTTTCCCTCGTCGGTTTCTTGCAGTCTTCTCTGCACTCTCATCCTGCACTCGTCATTGTGCGCTCGCTGCGGGAGACCCATCAGCTGCGCATCGCATCCCGGACACTGAGGCGTGTAGCCGTACAGCTCAATGTCGGACTTCATGACGTACAGGTTGCGTGCCTTGAAGTCTCGGTGTTGTGGCGCGGGTTGTTCGCCTTCGAGAGCGGGCATACCGACTCGGTTGGGCGACGCTCGCTCTTGTGGACCGGACATCCTCCAAGGCAATCCGCGTAGCACTTCGAAACCTTCAACAGGCCATTTCTCATCCTCGGGCCTCCTGTGCAAGGAGTGGCCCCGGGATATACCCTCGGACGTCATGATCAGCAAGTCTGCGTTCCTCGACGCAGTTCCGACGTAACGTCCCATGCAAACTCTTGCATCTAGGCTTCCTCGCTTGTGTCTCGAACCAACTGGCTTGAACATCACCTGTTCGCCAAAGACAATGGTAGGTCGCCTCCACGGTCGGCCCAGCGTCCTTTCGTAAGCTGACTTCCCGTCTTCGCCAATGCGAAAACGTGTCATCAAGAACGCTGCATGCCTCGCGATCCAGGCGAGAATCGGGTGGTCCACGCCCACCTCGATCTTAAGCTTTGTCTCCAGCTCCGACAGGATAGCTCGGACCATTCGCTTCACCTCTCTCACTGCGGCCTCGGCTATGCCGTTCGATGGCGCATTCTCGTGTTCCGTACTTGTAGGACTCTCTCTCAAGTCGAACACTACATTTTGGACTTCTTCGGAGGCCTTGAGTTTGAGCGCACGGAGGGCGTGTTCATTATCTGAGAATAAACACATCCTCTTCCATCCGGCCTCGCGTATCACGCTGGCCAACCACGTGACGTTGTACGCATGCGTGCCTTTCTCGGGCAACGAAGTTGCCCAAGTGCGCTGCGTTTTGTCGCACCGAACCACCAGGTGCGGCATCACGTCGTCTTCCTGCTTTCTTTGCCCAGGAAGAAGTAGTCCATGTGTAGCGTCGGCAAAGATGTCTCAAGTTCGGCTCTCCGAATCCGGTAATGTGGATTCACCATCTTTCGCGCTCTCTGGCAGTGGACGCACCAGGAACGGTGCACCGCGTGCCCCGAGGCTTCGTGCTGTGCGATCTGGTCAGCTGTTGGCTGGTCTGGGCTCTTCGGCACTATCGCCCTCTGTTGTTCTTCGCCTGGAGCCTCCGGCTCCTCGGCAAAGCGGTCGTCTTCAGTGCCTCCTTTTTCCTCGCTTGGCTGCTGCTGCTGTTGTTGCTGTTGTGCTGCTGGCGCTGCTGCTGGCACTTGTATGCTTGCGCTTGCTCCTTGTTGTGTCGTTTTCCTCTCTTTCTTCTCTCGCTCTCTCTCTTTCTTCTTGTCTTCCTTGGCTAACACCTTGAGCGTTGCCCTTCCGGCGGCTTTCCTTTTTGCCGCTTCCTCAACCATCTCAGCCTCTTCGTCTAGGGGTGAAACGCTAAGCCCGTTGGGCCTTACACCGTCTACGGACGCCCCGTGAAACCCAGGCCGTCTTGGCCCTTGCTTCCGCCCTTCACTCCTTTCTTCTCGTCTTGCAGAGGAAACACGTAGATGCCGTTCTTCACTTGCATCTTGGTTCCGACACCCTTGTGCTTCCAAGCCAACTGGCGCAACGCCTCGTCGGCCTCCTTAGCGAAAGCAGTTCCTTTTGGGACCAGCAAGCCTCCTGTTCCGTGCAGAAACGCAAAATGCGTCTTGCACGCCTGTGCTCCTGACAGGAGTATGCGGTGGACCCCGGCGCCTCGGCCGGTGATCGTGGCCCCACGGCCTCCCGACAAAGTGCCGGTGACCTCGGCTTTTCCTTGGTCTTTCAGCGCCTCACCTGACGCCGTCTTGTAGCGGACGCCGTTGTCCTTTGGCTGCGTCACGTACTTCTCAGGCAGAACGGTCACGGCCGCTCCCGTGTCAAAGTTGACCTCGACGCTAGCCACGCCTGGCGAAGCGCCCAGGCTGGCAGCATCCACGGTCTCGAAGCTGTGCACCGATTGGCGCACGCCTCCTTCGCCCGGGTCCTCCGGGTCTTCTCCTCTTGGGTCGCGGCGGTCGTTGTAGTCTTCACAGTGCACAGTCTCTTCGTCGTCGTCTTCGCTTTTCTTGACCTTCTTCTTTCCTCTGTGCTCTGGATCCCAGGTCGACCCAAGCTTCCTCTTCAGCTTGTTGCGCCTTTGGTTTCTCTTTTGGTTCCTCTTCTTCTTCTGCTCGGCCGCAATCGACGGGTCCGCCGAGTAGCGCCCGGTCGCCTTCGGCCTTTCCTGCTTTTCGAGCTCCTTCCGGTAGAGCTCCTCCTCGTCGTCGGCATCCACGCGGTGGCTCGTCCTTTCGGCTTTCGTGAGGGGGCGGTAGTCCTTTCGCCGCTCGGGCTTGGCCTCCGTCCCATCGCTGTGGATAACCTCCGTGTCGATGCCGTCGACCTCTTCCTTCTGGTTATCGCGGAAGTCGCCCTTTTTCACTTTCACGTCGTGCCGGGCGTGCCACTTCTTGTCGGCCTCGATCCTCTCCTTTGCTCTTTCGCCCACACCGCTGCGTCTGTGCTCTTGCGCTCTCCTTCGTCCCTTTTCCGCACGCCAAGCCTTCCAGTGGCTGTCTCCCTTTTCCACTTGGCGTTTGTAGCGCACGTCGTGCACCGACTGGTCTCTGCGGTGTTCGGGTTCCTTTTTCTTCACGCCCGCTTGCTGCGCCCTGAGGCGCTCACGCTCCTCTTTCAGGCGCTTCCGCTCGTCTTCCAGGCTCGCGATCTCGGCTTCCAGCTCTGGGTCACTGCCGCGTCCCTCGAGCTTCTCTCTCTTTGTCGCGATCCTCTGGTCCAAGACCGCGAGGTTCGCACGGTTGGTCTCCATAAGACCCGACGCTAGCATCCTCTGCATGCTGCTCGAGGTGCTTGCCGTGATCGCGGTTGCTCCTTCGGTTCCTTCTTCCTGCTTTGGTGGCTTCTTCTTTTCTTCCTTCTTGGGCTCCTCGGGCCCCTCGCTTGGAGGGTCATCCTCGAAGTCGCTTTCGTCCTCGGAGCTCTCCGGCTCCAAGGAAAACTTGTCTTCTTCTTCTTCTTCACCAGCGGCTTCTTCCTCCCTTTGCTTCACCTTCTCGGCTACCTTTGCGCTCCTCAGTTCAGCCTTGCTGGGCCTGTCGGCCCTCACAAGCTTTTCTCTTTCGAAAACTTTCCTGGCGTAGTGGGAGCCCGCTGCTTTTGCAGCTGCTGCCTTGTACTCTTTCATCCTCTTCTTCAGCAGAAGGGACGCTTTGCTCCTGAACTTCAGTCGCCTCGACACGCAGGTGGAGCAGGCCTCGCCTTGCTTCTTCAGTAAGGACTCCCCGACGGTGCCTCTGGGCTTCTTGTCTCGTATGGCATCTTGGTGGGCCACACGTTCCCTGAAGCGCATTCCTGCCCAAGACGCCGGACTCCTTAGAAGCTTTGGCTTTGCCTTCGCCACAGGTCTTTGGCTCCTTGAGGCTCCCCACTTCGGCGCTGTGGTAGCAAGTTGTCTCTCCACCTCTTCGCTTCTTGGCTGCACTTCTTCACTTCTAGGTGGAGGCTTCGAAGGTGGTGACTTTGGTTCTGTTCTCTTCGGCTCTGCCTTTGGCTTCGAAGGTGGTGACTTTGGCTCTGTTCTCTTTGGCTCTACCTTCGGCTTGAGAAGCGGACTTTTGGTCCTGGAAGGCGGTGGTGACTTCGGCGGTGTTCTCGGCCTTTCTTGCTTCGCCTTTGGAGGGGTCTTGGGCTCATGCACTGGTGGCTCCCGGTAGCGCGAAACGTTCCAGGGTGCCGTGTCCAAAGCCTTAGACCTCACCTCCTTCTTCTCCTCTTTCTTTCCGGCCTTTGGCTCGCGCACTCTCTCCGGAGGTCCTCGCGACGAAGACGAAAACGCTCCGAAGCTGGACTGCCCCGGCACCTCGCCGCGGGAACGTCTCCTGGCTTCTGCCAGCTCTTCCGCTTCCTGAAGAAGTCTTTCCTGGCGACGTCTCCTCGCAAGTTCCACCTTTTCCTTCATGTCTTGGAACTGACCCCTTGCTCTGTCCATTTGCTCTTCCAGAGCTTCTAGCTCCTTTTCATCCTCGTCTTTTTCCTCCTTTGGAGGAACCTTCCTTTTCGGGTTCTTTGGCGCCATGGCCCCAAGCACGGTCGGGCCGGAGCCCTCTTCCCTACTTGAGCCACGACTGCCGGGGTCTGGCTTCGACTCTTTCTTCTTCTTCTCTTTCTCTCTCTTCGGGCTCTCTCTTTCTAACGCTCCCACGTAGAGGTTGTTTGTTTCTGCTTCCTCCCAACCGTCCTCCCAGGTTTCTCCCCAGTCTCCGTCTTCCCAGCCTTCATCCTCTTCTCCTTCCTGCCAGTTCTCGTCCTGGTTTCCTTCTCCTGTGTTCTCTCCTCCTTCTTCTATGTTTCCTACGTGTTTCTTGTTCTTGCCACCTTTCTTGCCTTTTCCCTTTTTGCCTTTTCCTTTCTTACCTTTTCCTTTGTCCTTTCCTCCTTTGGGGCTCCCTCTTCCTCCTTTGCTGCTTGGTTTTCCTCCTTGTTGCCCTGGACCTTTGGGTGAGCCCCGTTGCTGCTGCGAACCTTTGCCTCCATTGCTCCAGCAGTCGCGGGCATAGTGTCCGCTCCTGCCGCAGTTGTGGCACACGACCTTGCTTGCTCCTTTTCCTTTGCCTTTCTCCACATACGACAGGTCCATAGGATCATCCTTGCTCGCCGCACTGGCTGCGGCTGCAGAAATCACCTTCAGACTCTTTCCTGTCTTGTACTCGATGAAGCGAGTCACCTCGTCGAGCACGTCGTCGTACGTGGAGAACCGGCTCTGGTTCAACTGGATGTGAGACTCCAGCTCCTGTGGCAACATTGCCTCCAGTGCTGCCATCTTTATCTCATCAGCCAGGGTCGTTCGTCGCCCTGTGCTGTCCTTGCGCTTCTCGTAAGTGCGCACAGCGTCGGCCCATTCTTCGATGGCCTGAGGGAGATTCTCCAGCTTCTGCTTCTGGGGCGATATAATCGCTCTCAACATCGTGCGCTTCCTGCTTGCAGTCGCAGGATCGTATCGCCTCGTAAGGCGTCTCCATGCCTCGAACCCGTTGTTCTGGCAATTGCACACGATCGTAAATGGTTCCTTCGAGGTAACCATTTGGAGCGCGTTCGCGAGCTCCCTCGACTTTTCTTGCAGTCTGGGAACTCGATCCGCCTCCAACGCCTTTTCTCCAAAGGCTGTGTCCAACTCCTCCGAGGAGAATGGCTTCTCCCTCTCTTCGAGCCACTCTAGAACTTCTTGCAGATCATGGTGGATCGAACAAACGTAGCTCGACATTCGATGCCTCCATGGTAGGAACTGTTCACTCTCACCTGAGAAGGTCGTCGGCTTTCCCAGGCCCTTTGTGTCGACCAAACAGAGCTTCTCGTTTGGTCCTCCTTTCTTTGCCATGGCCTCAACCAGTTCCTTGTTCGACTTGACCATGTCGCTCACCAACTGTGGCATCGTGCCCATCTGAGCCGTCGCCTGCTGCACTGCCGTATGCGCCTGTGCTCGCACTTCCGCAACTTGAGCTGCACTCTCTTGCCGCACTCGCTCAAGTGCTGTGCTTTGCTCGGCCCTTAGCCGATCATTCTCTTCGCGTTGCCTTGTGAGTTCGTTTCTCAGATTCACAAGCTCCTGCATCACTTGCGCTGCAGTCACTTGTGCCTGTTGCTGTTCCTGGCTGCTCATCGCAAACGATTAGCCAGCCGACGGCGGAACTCGCTGCTTTGGACGAAAGTCTGGAGATGCTGGCCCAGAAGGCCCCAAATCCTTTGCAGTCGCCTAATCCGATAAAGTAAACGGATCAAGCGTTCCCAGCGGTGCACAGCGGGAGCTTGCACCACAGCAAAACCTTCGTTGTCACTTTCAGCACTTTCGTCAGCAAGGTCGCGTCTGCTGTCCATTCAAACCGACAGCTCCGCTACCATGAACGGAGTTTATGGCAGAACTAACACTGCAGGTGCAATCACTTTTGACGGCTTGAGCCAATGTCGCATGTGTATGCTCACTCATTGTGAAACATGTTGTGTGACACCTACAAATCTAAACATATTATTATTATTGTTATTATTATGGCTTCGCGGCTTCGCGCACCGACCCGGTGGAAGTTGTGCAGCAGCTTCAGATTGGGACGGCGGATCTCGCGACGCTCGGGGGAGGGGGAACATTTGTAGGGCTCAAGCAGGAAAGGGGACCCGAAAACCCCCACTACCCCCAAGGCTGCCTAAGCTTCCCAACCTAAACCCTAAATCCTAAATCCTAAACCCTAAAGCCTAAAGCCTAAAGCCTAAAGCCTAAAGCCTAAACCGTAAACCCTAAACCCCATGGCTCCGAGAATCGGGGTCGGGGTCGATGATATCCGGGAGCATCTCCGGTAGGCGGATCTCAAGATCATCGAACCAGGCATCAAACTTTGGCCTCTGGTCTACGTGGCGGTGACAAGCGTGCTTAGGGTTTAGGGTTTAGGGTTTAGGGTTTAGGGTTTAGGGTTTAGGGTTTAGGGTTTAGGGTTTAGGGTTTAGGGTTTAGGGTTTAGGGTTTAGGGTTTAGGGTTTAGGGTTTAGGGTTTAGGGTTTAGGGTTTAGGGTTTAGGGTTTAGGGTTTAGGGTTTAGGGTTTAGGGTTTAGGGTTTAGGGTTTAGGGTTTAGGTTCAGACCTAGGGTGATACTGTGGCAGAATATGGGCTGAGGCGTTGGGATTGGAAAAATGCTGCAGTCACTGGCTTCCGTGAGACATCTGCCTGAATTGCCCCGAATCTCCCCACAGAGGCGTACCTACCAACCTTTTGTCTTTAAGGTCAAAGCGCACGGCCTAAATCACCCGGGCAGCAACTTAACTTCCCCACTCGGGTGCTCCAGTCGAAGCACACGACCAGGAAATTCACAAGCAAGAGGGCAAGCACCCCTAAACCGTACACCGTAACCGCTCATCTTTGCAGCCCTAAACAATAAACAACCCTGAAAGCCCTAAGCCATACACCGTAACCGCTCATCCATGCAATGCAGCAGGGTTCAGGGGCGAAGCTTTCTTTGAACCCGAAAACGCGTCTGAAGCCAGGCAACAGCATTTTTGGTATCAAGTCCTTGATACTCATTTCCAGCTTGAATCTGGCCAAAGTGAGAAAGTCAAAGGTCATGTCAAAGATCAGGTCCTCCATTTGGGGGGGGTTTACGAAAATAGCGGGCCCTAATATAGACCAAGCAATATGGGATTCCCTTCTAATACGGACCCCAATAAGGAACCACTAGTTTCGGAAACCCCCCCATGTCAAGAAGCTTCAGGGCTTTTCAGGCTTTTTGGGGCTTTCACTGGAAGGCAGCTTAGGGCGACGAGCCCTGGCTCAGGCAACCGGGAATCAAGACAAGCAGTGACAGTTGAAAGTGGCAATCCTGGGGACAGAAGCAGGCGCGGATCTGTGAAGCGATCCCTCTGGAACCAGGGGATTGGTGCTCCGTGAGGGCTGCGTCTCTAGAAGATAAATGGACGTCTAAAGTGTTTGCCAGCACAGCCTGGAGCGCAAGTGTTTCGTCAGGGTATTGTGTCCAGACGCTTCGGAAGGGTAAGCGGACGAACACACCCCGAGCCAATGGGAACCTTTCTCCCTCGGAAAAAAATCGGAAAAATCGAACAGGTCTCTTAAGATGCTTTCTGTGTAGTTAACGTGTGCTGAAAAGACAGAACCCACTACCCGCGTGGCTCCTTGAAGTTCTTGGCGTCCGGCTTGCCCATCGGAACGCTGCCGTTGAAGGTCCCTCTCATGCCTGGCTAGGGGGCATCTTGCGGTGGGCGGCTCAGAGGCCCAAGACAAGAGAGTGCAGAGCTGCGAGAGATCCGAATCTGTAGTGCTGCGAGGCGGGGGAAGCCAGTCCTGAAGCCTCGCACAAGCGGGTTCTTCTCACCCCGCCTTCCATGTTGAGCTTTGGACACCGATGGACGTCGCGAAGAGTCGCGAAAATGGGCGACTTGAGCTCCTGGGACAGTCAACAACAAAGGAGCCCGCGCTCGATCCAAACATCCCCCGGAAAGATATTTTTTGCACACAACACACAGGCGAATGCAAGCTCAACAGGGCCTTTTTTGAGGCAGAAAAACTCTTGAATTCATTCTGTGCCCAGACCCGAAAGCCCATGTTTGGGTCGTCCTGGATGGCGTCGTCCAGCAGCTCGATTAACTTTGGATGAACTTCATCATCCAGCACCTACGGTTCCGCTCTGACTGCAAACTGCAAGAGACGCTTCGTGCCCGAGCTTTTCTCAGAGTAATAGTCTCGGCGCAGAGCACTCCTTTGGTAGAATTAACCTCCCGAAAAACACCGGAACCCTCAACCCTAACCGATCAACTCGTGGAAAACCTGATGGAAACAGACAAAAACAATAGCGAGAACGAGACCCTCGCAAACAAAAACCCAAAAACCCTAAAACCCTAAACCCTAAAACCCTAAAACCCTAAACCCTAAACCCTAAACCCTTCTGGGGGCCTCCAACAGGGCCTCCTGGTGTTCTTCCAACTCGTCATGCTGTGCTGCCAGCTTCTCCAGCTCCTTTGCCAGGGTGTTAGGGGTTTAGGGTTTAGGGTTTGGGGGTTTTTAAGGGTTTTTGGGGGGTTTTTGGGGGGTTTTTAGGGGTTTTTAGGGGTTAGGGGTTTAGGGGTTAAGAGGGGTTTAGGGGTTTAGGGGCTTAGGGGTTAGGGGTTTAGGGGTTAAGGGGTTAAGGGGTTTAGGGGTTTAGGGTTTAGGGCTACACCTGAATGGTCTCAACCTTGCCCCCTGAACCCCCCGAAGCCCTCAATCCTAAACCAGTAGCCCCTAGCATCCGGTGACACCGCGTGGAGGTGCCAGCCGAGCTCCTAGAAACATGCTTTCTCTCCCTACAGGGTTTAGGGTTTAGGGTTTTAGGGTTTAGGGTTTAGGGTTTAGGGTTTAGGGTTTAGGGTTTAGGGTTTAGGGTTTAGGGTTTAGGGTTTAGGGTTTAGGGTTTAGGGTTTAGGGTTTAGGGTTTAGGGTTTAGGGTTTAGGGTTTAGGGTCTACAGATCCTTAAGTTAAAGACGAGCTACATGTGCATGACGCCGACATGGTGCTCACTGCTTCGCGCGTTTGGCTTACTTTGGTTTAGGATATTAAGGTTCTGTCGAGGGTCTCTGACTCAGGGCTTAGAATACAGTTGCAGGTTCTAGAATTGCAGAATCGTCCCGTGGGCAGGGTGGCAGTACGTCTTCTTGTCCACTCAGTGCTAACTCTGAAATCAAGCACTCCACACATTGCTAAGAGTCAGTAAGCTTTCCCTAAGCCCTAAACCCTAAACCCTGAACCCTAAACCCTAAACCCCTAAACCCCGAAACCCTAAACTCCAAACCCCCCATATGGTTTCTGTCGGGAGGCGCCCTCAGCGAATGCCCGGAACCTGATGTGGAGCTCATCGACCGTGGCTGCTTGGATGTCCTGGCTGGGTCTGTGGTCTGAACCCCCCCCTACTAACCCTAAACCCTAAACCCTAAACCCCAAACCCTAAACCCTAAACCCCAAACCCTTAACCTCAACGTCTAGTCCCAACCTTCTGGTACTAGGAGTGTGCTTGAATCGCCTCATCGCGTGTGAAGTCATGCTGCAGAGCGTGAAGTCACATCAGGCGTGAAGTCACATCACCAGCACGCGATTTCGAGGCCCCAACACCAGTATCATGTCAGCAACTGCTTGCAAACAGGATTTCGACGCCCACGCTTAACGAAAACTGCGCCTCCGACCTCATCTAGGGGGGGGGGGCTCTATTGTGTTTTCGAGCGAACCCTGAGCAAACAAAACCCGACATCCGGATTTCGACACCTGGGTTTCTGGGCCGAGCGGGTTTTATCTGGGGCCTGGCCATGGTCAGGCTGACCGAGCCCATGAGCAAGGGACTGATCGAAAACTGAACCTCGCACGAATCGACAAATGGGGAAACTATCACAGCCGCCCATGGTCATGCGCCGGCGAAACGAGACCACATCACACACACACACACACACACACACAAAATAAACATATTTATATACATACATATATACATATTTTTACTTCAATGCTTAGCACACGCTAGCCCCTGCGTTGCACGCAACTTCCCTGCCTGCAAGGCGAGAACGTACATCGACAACCAGCAAATCCCCATCATTCTCCATCAATCAAGTAGTATTCTTTAGAGCCCCAGAGCATAGCTAGGCCGTAGGCTTGTAAGGGAACCCGGCTGGGAATGCATATCCATTCACGCGCCGGCAATGCGACTTTATGCAAGCAGATGCGACTTTAAACCCATCCCTAGTATCGTACTGATGGAGTGATGGTGTCGTGTCATTCAGAGTCGTTCACGGTCGAAGTGCTGAAAAAACTCATGCGGGTTTGTTCTAAAATGGGGGGGCGACGGGTGTTGGGATCAGGGTATGCTTCGCGGGTATGTTTCGGGGTATGTTTCGGGATGTGTTTCGGGGGTAATGTTTCGGGGGATGTTTCGCGGCATCATGAGCTACTTTAGATGCAAGTTCGGGGGCATGTTTCGCAGGGTTTTTTTCGGGGTATGTTCGCGGAATCATGAGCTACTTTAGATGCACTTTCGGGGGCAGGTTTCGCAGGTATGTTTCGGGATATGTTTCGGGGTATGTTTCCAAGTATGTTTCGCGGGTGTGCAACCCGTGTGCGCTTGTTAAACCTGTGCCCCCCAAACACGAACAAATCCATGTGGACCGACATCCAATCAAGCACGTCCTCTTTGTACTCTTCCAGTAGGCGATCAAGCATACTCACGAGCAAGTCCGCGACAGCTGTGCAGACGTTGCGTCCTCGGAACGAGAGGTGCGCTGCACACTGCGGAGACTCTCTGTCACCCTTGCAAAGGATGAGCAATGCCTGCGGACTCCATTGTGCAACGAGATCCAGGTATGTTCTTGAGGCTCGCGGAGATGATTGCGGAAAGCAGGGAAGGCTCTGCAAGTAGACATAAGCCGTCATACATCATAATACGATGGTTTTAGCGCGTCCTTGGGGGCTTGGACATCTGCTCGAACATGGAAGGTCCCCCACGTCTTATTCAGCCCTCAAGGACGCTTCAACAACCCCTTGACATGTTACAGCGCATAAAAAAAGAGCAGCGCTCACATATCCAACGGGAAGTGAAGTTGGATGCTCAGGGATTTGAATCCTAAACCCTAAACCCTAAACCCCAAACCCCCCGGGGGCGTGCCTGGCTTGAAGCTGCCGAGCACGTCGAGGAAGATTTTCCCGACTGCTGAGTCGCCCAACATGTTCTCCAACATGTTCGTGATCCTGGACGTGGCCTGGGATTCTACTCCCCTTAGGACCTTAGCAATAAAAAAACAATCATCATCATCATAATCATAACCATAATATGTTTAACATCCTCTTGGGCTTTATATAAACAAAAATAAATCATAATCCCAAGGGGGATATGGGGGAGGGGTTGGCGTTAACATGCGAAAGATATATGCAGGGGGTCGCCCTAAACAGGGCGCATGCCACAAGGCTCGTTTTACGGGCTCCGTGCAGGAATTCCCCAAACTTGCAACTGTTGGAAACCCCTACTGTTGCCCGACCTTGCAATATCATGCTCTAAACATGACTCCTTCCTCCAACAACCAGGTAAGGCGCGGCGTTTGGGGTCAGAACAACCCAGCTTGGTAGCCCTGGAAATCCATACGCCCTGAGCTCATAAGATATGACAGAGGGACCGGACGAATGCTGCGACAAGGACACGCCAACACGCCAGTACATAAAAACACACACTACGACACGGCAACCCAAGCCCCCCAGCTCTGTTACAAAAAGGAAGCTCCTTCTGCTACACATTCGGAGAATGCTGCAAGGGAGAAGGGTGCAAGGCCTCATTGAGAACGGAGTTCTTGACATTGTCCACCTGTGACCAATGGCGGACCCCCAAACTCTCTAAATCAGCCCTTCTTAGAGCTGAACTCAGTTCACTTCGATCACACTTCTGTCCCAAGCTGCCTGCCCGAAGAACCAGTCCTTCATCGCGTCCTTGGCCTGCTTCACTAGCTCCGGGCCTGCCAGGTCCTTCACGAAGTCCATGCCCGGAATCTTGACCTTCTTCTTGTCCTTCTTCTTCTTGTCCTTCTTGTCCTTCTTATCCTTCTTCTTCTTGTCCTTCTTCTCCTTCTCCCGCTTCTTGTGCTCGGCCTTTGAGACTCCTCTGCGCCGACGGCTGAGGCTGGTCGCGAGGGTGCTGAGGGCATGCTCCGAATGCCCCGCAGGATGCTCCTGGCCCAGGGCCTGAAGAGTCCTCCTCGCAAGCTGGATGTCTTTCCGGTCGATCCCCTGAGGTCGCTCGCGCCTTGAAAGGAGAGAGCGGCCACGCGAGACGTGCGGCGACATGCTCAGGAGGGCTGTTTTCGAAGGAGACGCGCTCTTCGCAGCCTCCAGCTCCTTGCAGGTCCCTGGGTCGCCACGGTCCTCAGGCAACATCCGGGGCATATATGGGCATATATGGGCACAATTGCACGATTTAAGAGCCCTAAACATCCCTTCTTCCTTCTTCCCACAGTCCTCCGGCATGACGCTGGGATTGAAAGCTGCCTGGTGGGAACAGGATGACCCTGCCGATGGGTCAAGCTCGCACTTGCCGGTATCCGACATGATGAAGCACTCAGGACACCCATCCAAGCACACGGACCTTCGCGAGACATCGTTTAGGCTTCTTGATGGTTCTTTGGGTGCAAGTGCCACGGCAATAACAGCAATCATACCAGTCCCGATCACAACAGTAGTAAAAAGCCAATCAATCAAATCATCACTTTCCCCTCCCAGGAAGGGCCTCCCCGAGACGTCGATGTGCAGCTGCTTGTCAAGTGGGCAGGCCAAGCAGTCGTCGGGGCGAGGCCCCAGGCAAGCATCACATCCGGCGCACTTGTTGCAAGCAGCCGTGGCCGTGGAGGTGCTTTTGTCCACATCCATGCGAAACATGTAATACCCCTGGGGGCACTGGGGCCCTGGTTGGCCACGCTCCTGACGGCTGAGTACCGTCCTGTCCTGATCGAAGCGCTCGTCTTGCCGAATGCTCACGAGCTGAGACTTCACCGCCTGGGGAATTCCCGCGATCAGGTCATCCAGATCGCTGGCTGCATGCCTGCTGAGCCCCACAAGCATTCCTGGAGAGCTTGGAGCCCTCTGAACGGTCATCTCCTGAGGGGGGGTGGGGGGTTGTTAGGGCATTTCCTTAGGGGGCTATTCTGAAAAGTTTGGGTATGCAGGTCGGTAGATCATACTTGCGCTTTCTGTTACACCGTATCTGATTATATTTACAAGTATATTCTACTACCAGTATCTCATATTACAAGTCCATTATATTGCAAGTACATTATACGATACAGCTGGGGGCGCAGTTGCTCCTCCTCCAAGAGGACTACGACGGGGTCCTTCTTTGCCTTTGGGGCCTTCGGCCGCAAGTTGCCTGAGTTCCGTTGGGCAGCACGCGCACCGAAAATATCCTAAACCCTAAACCCCAAACCCTAAACCCTAAACCTCAAACCCTAAACCCTAAACCCTAAACCCCAAACCCTAAACCCTCAAACCTCATGAGCCCAGTGACACATCGGAGCCAGCTTCGGGCACGGAGCTCCCTGGCAGAAGCGCTCGCTCCGGAGCGCAGCGGGATCTGCCTGGGGAGATTAGGGTAAACAGGGCTTGGGGCTTAGGGTGTAGGGTTTCGGGCTACTCTACAGGTCTTGAAAAAGAATTTGAATACGGTTTGTGTTTGTATCAAAAATTAGAATACGGTTTGTGTGTTTGTGTGTGTGTGTGTGTGTTTTTTTTTGGGGGGGGGGGGGGGTATTGTAGTATAAGTCTACAGGGGCCAGGGAATACTGCTAATTACTCATTATTCCGACCCCTGTAGTAGGGCTTGGGGTGTTTTAGGAGTTTGGGATTTTCCCCTAAACCCTAAACCCTAAACCCTAAACCCTAAACCCTAAACCCTAAACCCTAAACCCTAAACCCTAAACCCTAAACCCTAAACCCTAAACCCTAAACCCTCATAAGATCGCTACCCTGACCCAGGGCAAGGGGCTCAGGCAATCGGCCCGGGCTCATGCAGAAAAGTCTTGGGGTGTAGGTTGGGATGTTCCCCCTTTATGCTAACAGTCCTGAATAGGGATTATAGTAGCCCCTCTGATATTCCCTGTTAAGGACCCTTCATAGGGATTATAATGCCCCTATTATATCCCCTACTAGGAGCTGTTAGAATAAGGGTCCCAAGGTGTAGGCGGTATCCCTAAACCCTATTATAAACCCTAAACCCTCAACCCTAAATCCTAAACCCTAAACCCTAAACCCTGGGGGCCGAGATGCTTTGTACTTCTTCCGGCAGCTTGCAGCATCTGCGGGGGTGGCGGCGCCCCGGGAACGTTGCTGGGTGCCGAGGCCACAGGACCTGGATCGTTAAGGGTTGGGATGGATTCAGGGTTTAGGGTTTAGGGATTAGGGTTTAGGGTTTAGGGCTTGGGGTTTAGGGTTTAGGGCTTAGGGCTTGGGGTTTAGGGATGTTCCCCCTTATACCTAACAGCTCCCTTAATGGGGATTCTCGTAACCCCCTACTCTATTCCCTAAAAAGGGAGCTGTTGGTATCAGGGGGAACATCCCGAGTTAAGGGCTTTCCGCGTCCAAAGTCTCATCAGGACTTTTTGTGTCCCTGAAGTCTGAGATGACATTCGTGGACTCCATGCGGAACCCACAAACAAGGGGGGTTTAGGGTTTGGGGTTTAGGGTTTTAGGAGTTTAGGGTTCGATCACCCGAAACATCGCAGATGGAAGATGCCTCAAGACATCCCTCAAAACGCCCCCCCCCCCCCCCCCAAAAAAAAAAAAAAAAAAGAAGACATCAAAAGCGCCTGAATGAACCCTAATCTCTCGCCCCCCTCAAGGCTCCCGAAGTCAGGTGACACAGAGCAGGGGGACCATGGTCCCCAGTCTGAGAGGACGCAGTTCCCTGGCTCCTAGAGTCAAGGAGATTTGATATTAAAGGTCTTTGGAGGGGTTTTTAGGGTTCAGGGGGTCTTTGGAGGGTTTAGAGGGTTTAGGGGGTTTAGAGGGACAGGTTTTCGAGACTTTTGGACGGGGAGGGGGGGTTTGGGGTGGGGGGGGGCCAAATGGCCTCGTCTTTCCTAGAAGGTTCCACCCTAAACCCAAACCCTAAACCCTCAACCTGGAACCCTCTTAACATGGCTTGAGAAACCGGTGTCTCCTTAGGCACCCAATAGCAGTCTCCCTCGCCGTAGCACGTCTCGAAGGATACGTGCGCCGCGCATTCCAAGCTCTTGTTTGCCTGGCTTTAGGGCTTTAGGGCTTGGGGTTTAGGGTTTGGGGTTTGGGGTTTGGGGTTTGGGGTTTAGGGCTCTCTTGTTTGCCTGGGGCATGGCTTGGGGTCTCTTGGCTGGCGGCGTATCCGTGATTTGGGGTAGGCTTTTGTGGGGTCGGAATAATTTGGGGAAGAATTGTTGATAGGCCTTGATATTTTGTGCCCTAATAACCCCCCAAAAACGAAACCCTAAGCCCTAAGCCCTAAGCCCTAAGCCCTAAGCCCTAAGCCCTAAGCCCTAAGCCCTAAGCCCTAAGCCCTAAGCCCTAAGCCCTAAGCCCTAAGCCCTAAGCCTTAAGCCCCAAGCACAGAGAGCCGTGAAGGGTGTATAAGGTTGTACCCTGAAGCCTCCCCTAAGCCCTAAGCCCTAAGCCCTAAGCCCTAAGCCCTAAGCCCTAAGCCCTAAGCCCTAAGCCCTAAGCCCTAAGCCCTAAGCCCTAAGCCCTCAGCCCTAAGCCCTAAGCCCTAAGCCCTAAGCCCTAAGCCCTAAGCCTTAAGTATGCCCTAAGCTCAGCCCAAGCCCTAAGCCCTAAGCCCTAAGCCCTCAGCCCTAAGCCCTCAGCCCTAAGCCCTAATCCCTAACCCTAAGCCCTAAGCCCTAAGCCCTAATCCCTAAGCCCTAAGCCCTAAGCCCTAAGCCCTAAGCCCTAAGCCCCAAGCCCCAAGCCCTAAGCCCCCAAGCCCCAAGCATGCACTCAACCCTAGCATATGCCTTTCGTACGTGTCACTCTCGGGCTTAAGCGCCCACGCCAAGTCCAAAAGAACACTGAAACCCTATAACCTATGGGGGGGGGGGGGGGTCGGTCCGGAAATGAATGGTGCTAGTTATTCCCTTATTACGGCCCCTTTGTAATTCTACGAGGATTACCCCCCCCCCCCCCCAAAAAAAAAAAAAAAGCTAATGACTAAGGCCCCTGTATGTGAAACCACCCTCGGGGCCTTCAGGGGCTTGGTCTGGACCCAAGCGCTTGGAACCACCTGCTCGGTGAAAGCGAAGTCGGGTCCCACCCACTCGGGCGGCAGGTCCTGCTTTGAGGAATGCTGTTCTGGAAGCCCTAAACCCTAAACACCCTAAACCCTTTACAAAAACAATATGAGATGTATATATATATATGTATATATATATATATATATCCTAAACCCGAAACCCTAAACCCTAAACCCGTTGCTTTGAGAGGTGTGGAGAGTTCAGAAGCATCGGCGAACGGAAAAAGAAATTGCAATGCTAAAGGGAAGAGCCAGCTTGAACGGATCCCACTCACCCTTTGGGGCATCAAGCCGTGCTTTGCGTGCCTTTGTCAGGGTTTAGGGTTTAGGGTCTAGGGTCTAGGTTTTGGGGTTTAGGGTTTATGGCCGGCGTGTGATTTCGCCCTCTACTCGCAAACTGAGTCCGAGGCAGCTCTTCGCATATTCCCCCTATTAGTTCAGTTCGCTCTGTGGGTCTGAATCCGAAGATCCCTAAACCCTAGACCCTAAACTTTACTATCAGGATGTTGCATCGGATGTTGGGTCCTGCACCCCGAAAGCCGCTTTGTCAAAAGCGATTTGGAGATGACCGCTCGCCTGTCCGGAAGGACATTGAACTGAAAGATCTGCTAGGGTTTAGGGTTAAGGGTTTAGGGTTTAGGGGCTAGGGGGCAGGGGTTGGGGTTTGCGTTTTAGGGTTTAGGGTTTAGGGCTTAGGGGCTCTTACTTGCTTCTGACAAATCCAGGCTTCTCTCGCCGGCGCTCTCTTGCTTTGTGGGCTTGGAATGCAATGATGGCGCAGAACATTTTTCCAGTTCGGTCCACTCAGGCCGGCGTGGCCGGGTTTCTACGGCTGTTTGCTGGCGTCCCGAACCCTAAACTTCCCTAAGCCCCAAACCCTAAATATCCTAAACCCTAAGCCCTAAACCCTACACGCTACACCCGAAACCCTAAACTCTAAACCCTACCCTAAACCCGAAACCCCAAACCCTAAACCCCAAACCTGCCGGAACTCAAACAGCGGAGTCTCCTGCCTGGGCAGCCTTCACCGTCCCTGGGAAGGCTTTCTTGGATTTTGTCCTCGGTGTTATGGACTTTAGGGTTTAGGGGTTTAGGGCTTAGGGCTTAGGGTTTAGGGTTTAGGGTCTAGGGTCTAGGGTCTAGGGTTTAGGGTCTAGGGTCTAGGGTCTAGGGTCTAGGGTCTAGGGTCTAGGGTCTAGGGTCTAGGGTCTAGGGTCTAGGGTCTAGGGTCTAGGGTCTAGGGTCTAGGGTCTAGGGTCTAGGGTCTAGGTCTAGGGTTTAGGGTTTAG